TGCCTCCTGAGTGCTGGGATTAAAGGCGTGCACCACCAATGCCCGGCACAAATCTTCTAACATAAAAAAAGTGTTTATTTCTTGTGTCTCAGCTGTATTTAAGGGATTAGAGAGCAAACAAACAAACAAACAAACAAAAAAGATTTCTGAACCAATCAATGTAGTCTCTTGTGGTTATTTATGGAGCTCTTCTTTCTTCCTCCACCTCTGTGTCCAGCTGCTGGGCATCCCCTATTTCCCGAGGGCTGTGCTTATTGTCTACTGCCCTATCTTCCCAGGCTCCACTGTCAAAAGGTAGGGTGTCTGAGCATCCACCCTCTTTCTTTCTCATCACATTTATTTATTTATTTATTTATTTATTTATTTATTTATTTATTGCATGGGTATGTTTGGTGGTGGTGCAGGGATGCCATAGCACACTGATGGAGGCCAGAGAACAACTTGCAGGAATTGGTTCTCTCCTTGCAATGTCTCAGGCATTGAACTCCGGTGGTTTTGGCTGAGTCATCTCACAGGCTGGCAGGATTTTTACTTTCTCATTCACTGAATCTTCTCCAGAGCTCTTCCCAAGATGGCTCTGCAGTCTTTACATAGTGTATGGAACAAAACATTAAGCACTGTGCTTACCCCCTGAACTTAGTTCTGCGGTCTGACACCTGCTTAGCCGTCATGCCTTACCTTATTCCCACTTTTCTACCCAGCCCACTTCCTTCAGAGGCCTAACCTCAGCCTTCTTGCTTCAGATCCACTGCCCTTCTCTGCCTGGAAGTTCTTCATGCAGCTTTGAGTTCAACTTAACACCTCTTGGAATCTTCTCCAACTTCTGCATCTCAGCCCAGCTTCTGGGCACTGACATGAGCATTCCATTTCAACAGAGGAAGCATTAGGGTCATGGAGACATCTGTCATCTCACACTGGTCCAGAGAAAGTACTGCATTAGGGTCATGGAGATATCTGTCATCCCACACTGATTCAGAGAAAGTACTGCACTAGGTCACAGAGACATGGCTGTTATCATACACTGGTATGACTGGTTGTTATTTCAGTCCTGGTTTTGCCAGGTGGCTCTGGAGACATCATCATTCAAGAAGACAACCTGCTGGTTCCATAAGATAATTGATTCTGCATTTAGGGAGGAGCACTCCAGTGTCCTTTAGGAAGTAATTACTGTCACGTGAGAGATAACCCCCTCATGAGTGATTTGTCTGTGGGGCTCTGTTGTTCTTGGGATCCAAGATGACTGAAGGATTAAAACATGACTGGAGATTTCCAGATGTCTTGGGGGCTGGAGCAGGGTATTATGGATGCCTTAGTTGTCTTTATCTTTCTGCCTTCATTCTTCAAGGGGATAAGATGGGTTAGGTATGACTGATTCTTAGCCAGAGCTCTGTAAGTAATTAACATGCCTACGTGTGGAGCAGGCAGGAATCCAGTTCCAAGCAAAGGACACAGACTGAAATGAAGGCCAAGCTGCCACCTTGCTTTTAGTTACTTAAGGTCCCCTGTGGGGAGGTTGGTGCATTTTAGTTCTCTATGGAGAAGTGCTCAGCTGTGTTATTACACTGTCCATATCTTTTCTGTCTGTGTTATGGCTTCCAAGGTTGAGTGGCAGAGAGAACACAGACTGGGGACCACTGTGTACTTCAAAGACACTGCTGTGGTCTGAGTTGATCCTGGTGACTCTGGCTGAGCTTCCTAGTGTGTACAAGGACAAATGTCCCAGATGATGGTTGTGCTGGCCTATTGTGGCTAAGAGTGGACTTGCAGGCCACTGTGGGAGGGGATGAAGGAGGCCCTTCTACAGTTCCTGCACAGTCTACTGAGCAGGCTGTTACTTGTTCTCCCTCCGAGCACCAGGCCCCAGGCACACCCCACCCTCCCTTCTCCTATCTTAAGTTGCAAGGCAAGAAGGGCCTTGCCACCAGGTTCTGTATTGTGGCCTGCTGAAAAACAGAGCATTATCCTTGGACAAGAAGGAAGGAAAGATGGACACACTCCCTTATGGAGCTTCGCCCTGCTCCTACTCTGGTAATTTCTGGGATATGTTTGGTTCTGTCTGAGCTATGCCCACTTCAGTTCACCCAACAGCTATATGGAGAGAACCAGTCCTTGTCTAGAAGCAACACACCTTCCAGCAGCATAGCTCCAAAAGGTCTTGGGTATCCTCAAAGTATGATTGTTGGCCATATGTATCTTTGCATGGCACAGAGGTAAAGAAAATATAGAAATGCAGATTCCTCGGCCCCATAAACCTCCTGAATCAATATGTTGAGATGGGCCAGGAAACATTTTGAATATCTGCAAGTAATTTACATCTGAGGCCAAGTGCTCACTCAAAACTTTGCAACCAAGAGCTGGGAAATCAACAAACTGCTGCTCCAGAGTGCTGCTCTTGCAGGTACTGGCTATGTTCAGTACCAACCTGGGTAGTGAGCAAAATTATTGGCGTGCTCCCAGCAAAGCTGCAGCAGGATTGTGAGGCGACTGGGTAACTGGCCTGGGCTTTGGAAGTGTATCTCACGTGAATCACCTGAACTTAGCTCAAATTCCTGGGCTTTTGTGTCAGAGAAACAGCGTTGTGGGGGAATTCACAGTAGTCACTGGAATGTGAGGCTGCAAAGCTTAGTGGTTGAGGATTCATTTTTCCTCATAGCTGAGCTACCTGAGAGAATTAGAGGTACTCAATAAAGCAGGAGCTTCTCATGTCAAGTCCCAGATTCCTCTGCTGTCCAGTTGGGTGATTTCACTTGTGCCTTAGCCCTTGTGTTAATTACTTTACCAAGACCAAGGCAGTTCATAGAAGAAAGGGTTTATTGTGGCTTATGGTTCCAGAGGACTGGAGTCCATCATGGTTAGTATGGAGTCCCCAAGTCTTCCACATTCCTCTGGGAAACAAGGTCAGGTTCTTTACAGCCACAGATCACTCCTTGGTACCAACTTCTGTATTAGCTCCTTTCCCGCTGTTGTGATAAACACCATGGCCATAGAAAACACTAATGGAGGAAAAGGTTTATTTCCACTTATACTTCCGCATCACAGTCCATTGTCAATGGATGTCAGGGCAGGAGCCCAAGCAGGAACCCAGAGGCAGAGACTAAAGCAGAAACCATTGAGGAATGTTGCTTACTGGCTTGCTCTCATGGATCGCTCAACCTGCTTTCTTCTAGCATCCAGGACCACCAGCCCAGGGGTGGTACTGCCCATAGTGAGCTGGTCCCTCCCATGTCACTCCTCAATCAAGAAAATGCCCCACAGGCCAATCTGGTGGGGGCATTTTCTCAATAGAGTCATTTGATCTTCCCAGATGAGTCTATCTTGCATCAAATCGACCTAAAACTAGCCAGCACACACTTTGCATGCTATATTGAAATCATGTGTTTGTTCACATGGCTCAGCAGTATCCATGTTTCTTTCCCTGGGGAATTGGATGGGCAGCTCCATGCTTTCCCTTACACTGTGGTGGTGGATGCTCGTCCTGACTCCTGCGCTCTCTTTCCAGTTCTTGGCCCAGCTGATGATGTTCCTGATCAGCTTCATAAGTTCAGTGTTCTGTGGCCACCTGGGCAAGCTGGAGCTGGACGCAGTTACACTGGCAATCGCGGTACGTATAAGACTTTCCATAAAGGCTCACAGAGCTGTCTGCTGTGTGCCTCCTGCTGCTGTGACAAATGACCATAGCCCAGAGGCTTGATCATGCTGTGTGTTTCCTTGCAGTGCTGGAGGTCAGGAGTCTGAAACAGGTTTCATGGGACTAGAGTCAGGGTGCCAGCAGGGCTGCAGCCTTAGGAATTATCCTTTTTAGGGTAATCTTGCAGAATTCCAGGCCTAGTGAGTTAGATGAAGCCATCTTTGGAAGGCATTATTCCAGTTACCATATCATCTGGTATGTGGTCCCTAGAGCTCAGAGTTTGAATGTGGGAAAAGGGAATTGGATAGGTGCCTTGAAGTTTGCCGAACTCAGGAGGTGCCATCTTACCTATGCACCAACATTTCCAAAACAAATGAAAGTTCTAATCCAGAAGTCGAATGGGAGGGTAGGGGGTAGGTCCAAACCAGCCTCCAAATCTGAAATTGGGAGGAGCCCCAAATTCTCTTTTCAGTATGCAATGCCTAACAACAAGGTGATATTGTAGGGATTGGTAACTGGCCCTGTGAGGTCAAGAGTCCCATCAACTTATTCGGTTTAGTTAGTCATGTGTTTCTTTAAACATGGACTCTGGCTCTTTTGCAGGGTATACTCCTATTCTCCATATCCTTCTCCTTGTCCTACCCTATCTCCACTTGCCTTGTCTCTAGGCAAACCCTCTACCATTGAGCAATACCACAATTCCTTACTTGAAAATCTGAGGCAATATGGAAGTATATGCAGGTAAGCCTCAGGCAGGTTTCTATTGGCTGAGGTCTTGTGATAAGTCAACCCTTTCAGTAGGCTGAGTTCAGCTATTGTCCCCTTGAACTTTGGCTACAGATTCAGTGAGGCAACAGCCCGAGGCCCCTTCGATGCTAGTTCCTGATTCTAGTGAAGGCAAGTGTGTCTGCAAAGAAGTCTCCAGAAGGCACTGGCTTTGACTATGCATTTGCCTCTGTGTCCTTCCTGTGAGTCAGGGGCTTGACCCAGGCCACACTGGAGAAACAACCCTCTTCTGAAATGTGGATGGAAGTGTTTCAAATTCCTGTGTGCATCTCAGACTATTGGCTCACTTTAACCAGTTGAACATATCTAGTCTGAAACTCCAAAATCCAAACTGCTCCCAGATCTGAGATGCTGTGCTTTGTCATACTGGTGCTAAAGTTTCAGATTTCTGAATATTCTGGATTGTGGTGTTTTGGATTAGAGATGCCCAGCTGGTCCTAGTTTCAGGTGAGTAGGCTTGCCCCAAACTGCTGCTACCATATTCCTTTAGGAGCTGCTCTGAAGTTGGAGACCAAGACAGATAAGTCTTCAAAAAGGCTGTGCTATGATCTCTGGCATGGGGTTTGGAGTCCCTGTCTGAGCTTTTGCATGTCCTTCTAGCTGACCCAAGTGATCTGAGCAGGTGCTCCAGGAAGAGGTCGGGCCACACCATGGTTCTGATCTACAGGAACAGAAAACGGGCCTCCTTTAACTCATTCTCTGTTCTCTTCCAGGTTATCAATGTCACTGGCATTTCAGTGGGGCATGGCTTGTCTTCCGCGTGTGACACCCTCATCTCCCAGGTAAAAGGAAGTACCCATTCTCAGTGACTCCACACATCTTTTCTTTGATGTAGATGGAGGAACTCACTACAAGAGGAAGAGTCATGTGTACACACAGATGAGGAACTCAGAGCAGCAAGCCCCTGTCACCCTTTGCCAGCCACAGACTCTGGTTTTCCCTGCTACCATCTTTGAAGTGTGGCTAGGGTTCTTTCGGCTCTAGCAAAAAGTGTTGTTCTTCATGTTTGTCTTTGATCAAACAGGGAGCCCGTGTAAAAGCCCCTCCTATAACTTTCATGTTGGAGTTTGGTGTGGTCCTGGGCATCCTTAACTGAATCAAAATCAGGACTATCTGGAGGGCTTGCCAGAGTGCAGGTTGCTGGGCCCCACCCAGGACTGTGGGTGAATGTTCAGCATTCCCCAGGAGAGTGGTATTCCTAAATGGAAAATACCCTAAGATGAAAATGCATCTAATCCCCCTCACCGAGTAGATATCCCAGCTCAGCAGCATGGAACACAGCTTGGTCCCCCATGATTCATAACTGAATGAGAGCTGTGTGTGGCTCCTGTGCTGCCCAGCATTGAATAAGAGGATCACGCCCCATATCACTAGCCTGGGGAAGGATCCAAGTAAAACCTCAAGGCTGGTTTCTACCATGTGTGAATTTCTTTTGCACCAACTTGGAGTTGAGAAGTTAAGCCAGTCCGTCTTAAGCAGAGGGCCATTGGTACTTGGCAGTTTCACTGGTGTGTGTTCCCCTCTATAACTGGTCTGAAGTTCCCACATAGATTTTATGGGACAGAAAGCTGAGAGACACCGGCATGTTCTGGTTCTGTAAGTTGGTAGGAGCTGGTGCCCCACACTTCTGGTCTTTGGCCCAGTTCCTGCTTTAGTAGGTCTGGAGTCAGGCATTTCTAACAAGCTTCCAGGTGATGCAAACCTGATGGCATACTAGAACTGAATGGGACCTTTAACATGTCATTGCTACTGGGGTCCTGTGTAGTATATTTTTGTGATGCTGGGCAGTGCAGCCAGCCCAGCTCTCATTCAGTCACACCATCTTTCCCTAGAGAGAATGGCCAAGCCACCTGCTTTCTTATGAGGCATGACTGAAGGCTTCTGAGGGACAGGTGGGATGTGCTGCTTCTGTTTAATGTGTTTGTTTGCCTGTGCTCCCCAGACATTCGGGAGCCAGAACTTGAAGCACGTGGGGGTTATCCTGCAGAGGGGGATACTCATCCTGCTCCTCTGCTGTTTCCCCTGCTGGGCGCTCTTCATCAACACTGAGCACATTCTACTGCTCTTCAAGCAGGACCCAGATGTATCCAGGTAAGGCAAGGTTGGGGCCAGGGCAGGGCACCATCTTTGTAGAAAGATCATTTATACTCAGCCTCTGGGTGACAGAGGCCAGGGAATCACACCAAGATGAACTCAAGACGCTTGGCTGGTCCTTTCCAGGCATTGATAATTTCCATATCTGGCTTGTGAGACCTGGATTCCCTCTCAATACTGGTTTCTAGGATTGAGAGTTTGGAGTGGAATTGCTTTCACGAACATCTTCCCATTGGGTTGGCAGTCTGTAGCTTGTTAATACTTGGTGACTTCTGACCACAGTTGGTATTAAAATCACTTCGGTACTATAGATAGTTCTCTAGGCCTCTAGGCTTCATACACCCAGGTCCTTAACTGGCACAGGTGAGGCCTGGACATCAGCAACTTCCAAATCTTCTTTGCGTGAGCTGCCATGTTTGAGACCCACTGGCTTAACTGATTGAAACCTTTGAAAAAGCGCTTGCCACATGCCAGTAGTTATGAGCCCACAGGTATTCGACAACAGCTGAAGACATGCCTGTATATCTCATTGGGCAGAGGGTCTTGGGAACCAGGAAGGCTGAGAGATAGCTTTTGGTGCCCTGGGCAGCTCCCATAGCCAGGGGCTGTCCAGCTGCAGGGTAAGGCTTAGAATCCCTGCTCTAGATCTTTAGACAGGAAGAAGCAGGAGGTGAATCGGGATGCAAGGTGGTGTGATTTGTATAGTTTTCCATTTGCTCCAACTGCTGAAGTCCATTTATTTCTGAAGAACCAAGAATGCTGCAGCCATGTCCTGCCTCTCTGAGGGAGCGGTGGCCTCTGTCATCATTTTCACTATTTTCTGTTGTGTAGGCTCACCCAGACTTATGTCATGATCTTCATCCCAGCGCTTCCTGTGAGTTTCCAAGGGGTCAAAGACTCCATTCTTGGGCCCTTGGGTGAAAAGTGGAAGGGATGTCATGAGTTAGTTCAGTCTGACGTAATTCTCACATGTGACATTGGCTCATCACAGAAGTGTGCTTTTAATTATGTCCCTTAAGGACACACCAGCATTTGTCTCTTAAACAACACAAGAAACTCTAGGGTGGGAGTCACTGCCTTGACTTCTTGTCTCTGCTGAATCCTTGGGGCATCCAGCAGAAGAGTCCAGAATGTATTTTTAAGGGGTAAAGTCTTGTCCATCTCAGATCCCCCAAGAGTATTACTTTGACCTTTAGACAGTTGTGTGTTAATGTTTAATAACAAGTTGTAGGTAGTCAATGAACTGTCAAACCGAAGAGGGCTGGGTGTTTGCTGGGATGGCCACAGCTGGGGGACTTAAACAGCAGATATTTATTTCCTCACAGTTCTGAAGGCTAGAAGTCCAAGATCATGGTGTGGGCCTCAGTGGTTTCCTGGTGACAGCTATCCTTGGCTTGCAGGTGGCCCTTTTTGTTTCCACATAACATGGTTGTCTCTTCTTATAAACATACCAGTTTGGGCTGGAGAGATGGCTCAGCAGTTAAGAGCACTGGCTGTTCTTCCAGAGGACCTGGCTTTAATCCCCAGCACCCACAACTGTTTGTAACTCCAATTCCAGGGGATCTGACACCTTCATACAGACATACATGCAAGCAAAAGCACCAATGCATATAGAATAAGAAGGAATAAATCATTAAAAATGTTATAAACACACCAATCCTATTGAATTAGAGTCCTACCCAGGGTCCTCACTTTGATTTGTTTAATCACCCTCTAAATCCAGTTGCATGTGGGGATAGGGCTTCTGTGTGTGAATTTGAGGGACTCAGTCTGCCCTAATGGTAGCCATTTGCCCTCACAATTGGCATGTACTTCTTAGTTCATCATAAAATGTTTTATTTTACCTTTTATCTTTATATTCCAGGGGATGGAGCCCAGTGCCTTGCATGCTAAATGAGTACTCTATCCCTGAGCTATACACTCAATCCTACCCCATAAAACCACTTAAGTGTGGTTTTATTATCCCACCAAATAAGATGAGAGCTGGGCTATACTAGGATGTCAGTGTACACCCTAGGAGACAGTGCCTCTTTTTGCCAGACAGGGAGTCAGGGCATACCTCTTTTGTTGTTGGGACAACCTAACCTAATACCTAACAAAAGCAACTTAGAAAAGGACTTACTTTTAGCTTATAGTACCATGATGGTGTGATTGGCTCCTCAGTGACCCCAGGAGACCAAGAATGCTTGCTTGTAGCTCTATGGCTCCCCAGGAAGCAGGAGTTCAGGTCTGTCGTGGGGCCAGTCAGAACCCATGACCCCATACCTCCCAAACGTTCCACAGCTTCCCCCAAACAGCTTGACTACCCGAGGACCACATGCCTAAACACACGAACCGTAGGAGACATCCACATCCCACCAGGGCAAGCACTGTTCGGATTATGTTCATTCAGATAGAAGGTGTGTGAAGCCCCTGGACCACAGACACTGTTTGCCCCAGGTTTAAATGAGGCTGTGTGGAGTGGCGAGCAGCCAGGGTGGCTGTGGGGACAAGCCTGCTCTGACACCCAGATTTCTGATGTATGGGTCAGGATGCAGAACTAACCCTGACCTCTTGTTCTCTTGTAGGCAGCCTTTCTTTATACGTTACAAGTTAAATACTTGCTCAACCAGGTAATGCTGACTTCCCCCTTTTCTTCGGGGGTGGGGCTGATAGAATCAAGGAGCCAGTGGAGGGAACTGGCCTGCTGAGGTCACTGCAAGATGCTTTCAGGCTTGTGCACACAGGGCTTTGATGTGGAGAGATCTCTTAAGTGACATCAAGGAATGAATGAAGCATTATTCTTGGCTCTAAAAATGTATATCCAGTTCCCACTTGGAAATATTGCCATTGGCAATGCTGAGATTAGCATCTCTGTGTTCTTTGGCTCTTTCCTGGTACAGGCCTGTCTGCTCTCTGTAAAGGGCTGAGGGTCACAGTGGCTTGGCTGGGTCTAGGTCGTCCACACCTCTTCTCAGTTTGTTTGAAAACTCCTGCTTTCTGGGGCAGAGGGTGTAAAAGCTCAGATTGTATTGACAAAAGAATAGTCAAGACTCTTCATAAATGGCCATTGCCAAAGGCCCTGGAAATGATGGCCCTGACTTACTGGGGGTGGGTTTATGAGGATGGTGTGTGATTTAGGACTGTGGAAGCCTTCTAGCATGTGTAAGAGGGATGCATGAATGAGGGGTAGAAAGAGGCAGGGAAGTTTCCCACTCACTGGATACTTTATTAACGTTAGCGTTGCATACTTGAATTAGTTGAGCACAGGTGATGGAAACAGCATTTCTAATTGGTCTCCAGGCTGTCTCTTCTCTGTCTAGACTCTTGTATGAACCAGGTAGAATCCTTTTCATGTCACAGTGGCTCCTGCTTGTCTTTCTGTCTCCCAGTAGTGTGGTGACCTTTTATCTCACGGATGCAGGGAGGACAGAGAGTGTGAACATGAAGTGTCCAATAGCTGAGGCTTGAGGGAAGGACCTGGAGGTAGAGAATTGTAGATGAGAGGAGCTGGGGGATACGATCTGAATTATGGTGGACCAGTGTAGCTCGGGGTCTGGGAGGGAAGTGTTCACAGACAGCAGGTGCCAGGCACCAGTTACTAGGCAGGAGAGCTGAGTGTGGTCAGTCTGCTGCAGTCCAGAAGGCACAGCACACAGTGGCTTAAGAGGAGCAGGCTGGCTGATCTGCTAGGGCAGTGTGCTGTCTCTACTGGGGACTGGGTTGGTAGAAAACAAACTAATTTGTGTTGCAGAGATGAAAATGGTGGGATGACAATGGTCTAATAAGAAGGAAGAATTGTCCCAAAGGAGCAGGATCCACGGTGATGGGTGGGCTCTGGAGACCAGGCAGTGGGCTCTGGGAGAGGCAGGAGTGCTTTAGCTTAAGCATACTGCTTGTTTGGAGGAACATACTCCCCTGAAAGAGGGCACTAGTTTACTCCCCTGAAAGAGGGCACTAGTTAGAAAGGGAGAAGAGGAAAGACAGGGAACACAGACCCATAGCAGAGGAGAGAGGGGATTTGAACCTGTGTCTTCTGGAAGAGCAGCCCATGCTTTAACTGCTGAGCCATCTCTCCAGTCCCTTGTCTTAATGTGAGGCATGAAGTAGGGAGGGCATTTTTTTTTTTAATCTCCTGCTCCTGCTTCTCAGGGTTGGCTGTGAAGGGGTCCACTCTCCATTTCAGAAAGAAATATAGTTTCACATGGTCTTTGGTCCAGCGTCTGAATTTCAGTTTTGGTGGAGAAAGTATAGTTTATCTTCAACCTCTTGCAAACGCCACCTTCCCCTCTGCTAATTCCTGACACTCTGCACACAGCAAGGAGGACCTCTGCTTTTGTTCCTCTCTCTGCTGCCTTCTCACCTCCTACCCATTGGAGGTCAGAGCTCTCTTTACTTACAGCAAAGAGGAGGACCCAGAGGGGAGGGGAGAGTAGGCAGGAGAGAGGCATCCCCAGCTGACTTCCTGCTATGCCCAAGGCCCCTGGTGCTTCAGCATGTAACTGTCATGTCTGTGTCTCCTCATTCCAGGGTATTGTTCTGCCGCAGATTGTGACTGGCATCGCAGCCAACCTTGTCAATGCCCTGGCCAACTATCTGTTTCTCTATCACCTACATCTAGGGGTGATGTGAGTTCGGCTTCCTCTTGGGCAGGGGAAAGAGGGCAGTTTAGCTGGTGTGGGTGTGGCCTTCTTATCCCCTTTGGAAAGTGCTGCCAGAATGAAGGGGATACTGCCCTAAACAGGAGTAACCTTAGGGCCTGTGGTGGAGGAGGGCATAGGAAGGGGTGCATGGTTCCTCAGATCACTGAGACAGGGCCGAGAGGGTGGAGCATAGTGTCCACCACAGCTGCTGGTCTTCCCAGGGGCTCAGCGATAGCCAACACCATCTCCCAGTTTGCCTTGGCCATCCTCCTGTTTCTCTACATCCTCTGGAGAAAACTACATCAAGCCACCTGGGAAGGTAAAGACTACCTTTTGATTGGGCTGTGGCTTTTGCCTGAAGGCTAGACATATTGGAAACCCATCTGCTGTCCCTGCAGGGTGGTCCTGGGAGTGTCTGTATGACTGGGCCTCCTTCCTGCGACTGGCTGTCCCCAGCATGCTCATGCTGTGCATTGAGTGGTGGGCCTATGAGATCGGCAGCTTCCTGAGTGGTGTGTATACAGATGGGATGACTGGTGGGAACCAGCTGATAGGAATGGTCTGGGCTGGGGCAAGGCATCAGCTGTCTGTCTTCACCAGGTATCCTTGGCATGGTGGAGCTGGGAGCCCAGTCCATCACCTATGAATTGGCTATCATTGTGTACATGGTAAGTGTCCAAGACCCTGTGGTGTGGCCATGGTAAAGGTGTCCTGTTTTCTATCCTGAGAGTCCCACAATGAACAAAAGGCATTGGTGGTATTAATACTGTATGAGATGGTTCCTGGACATAAAAATGTCATCCTGGGGCTGGAGAGATGGCTCAGAGGTTAAGAGCACTGACTGCTCTTCCAGACGTCCTGAGTTCAATTCCTAGCAACCACATGGTGGCTCACAATCATCCGTATGAGATCTGGTGCCCTCTTCTGGTGTGCAAATAAACATGGAAACAGAATGTTGTATACATAATAAATAAATAAATTAATTAATTAAATTATCTTCAACCTCCAGTCACCCTGGAGCAGGGACTGGCAATATGGACATGCAATTCTAGCTGCCTAGAGGGTGAAGCTGGGGAGTCACAAGCTCAAGGCTGGACTTCACTAAGGAATAAGATATTTTCTCAAAATAAAAAATAAAAACAGCGGGAACAGCTCAGTGGTAGAGTGTTTGCCTAGTACTCATGAGGCCTTGGGTTCAATCCCTGTCCCCTTCACCTACAAAGTCATCTTGGATCCTGGATAGGCCCTTTATTCCTGGTATGGTCAGGTTTCCCTTTAAGCTGAAGGGTGTGGGGTAGGAAACCCCCCCCAAAGATCTTCTCATTCTGTTTCTGGTCCAGCTCAGTTCAGACCTAAAGTGGTTGCTTCTGTTCCCACAGTGTCCCAGTGCAATGCCCTAGGGGTGCAGTGGTTTGGAATGGAGGTCTGGTCACACAGGTCAACTACATGCTGGTTCCATCTCTGAACACACTGTGCCATGTATGTGCCAGCTACATGCTGGTTCCACCTCTGGACATGCTGTGCTTGCCATGTATGTTTATCTCCTGGGGAGACTCAGAGGAACGGGAAACGGACTTGGACAGCTATGTGCACACCGTGTTCACAGAGGCGTTACTGGCTGTAGTTAAGGGGCGCTGCCTGGGTGTCTGCCCATCAGCAGAGGGATGGGTGGACCAGGTAGAAGCACGCTCACAGTGGAAGGTTGCTCACCCTTAAAAGTGAAGCAGACTCTGGCATGATAGAAAATACGTGGTTAGAGGTTTTTCTGTCACTTTCTGTTACCGAAAGCGTCAACCTGAAACTCTGAAGGGCTGGCTCTCTGATAGCTTGCACCGCTTCAGACAGAAAACTAAGGAAGGGCTAGGCTATGGCATTATAGTAGAGTATGCCCAGCATGCTTGAGGCTCCTCTTCAGCACCGTGCAAAGAAAGAAAGTTTTTCTTTAGAGAAAGGGACATTTGTAGTTTGGAGAAAGACTCAGCTGACATTCTACCCTCCATTGTTTATATGTCCCCCACCTCCCCGCCCCCTGGGGATCCAAGCATGCCAGGTCAATGCTCTACCTCTAACCCTTGAGGACATATATTTTTATTTTTACTGCCTGTGAAAGACATTTTTAACCTGTACTTCATGTTTTTATATTTTACTTACATCACATTATTTTATTAATTTTAGTTAAGTACATTTATCAATGCTTGAAGTCTATGAGTCCATTATCTCTAAGCCAGTCTTCTACTGCCCAATATTTAATTTATACTATTTTAATAAGCACCTCAGGATACCTCCTAGGACATATATCTTTATGTGATTTCCGGATTTTTTTTTTCCTGACTGGAAAAAACAAAACAAACAGAAGATAAATGCTTACATTGCTGGGAGGTGGTGGCACATGCCTTTAAACCCAGCACTTGGGAAGCGGAGGCAGGCGGATCTCTGTGAGTTCCAGGGCAGCCAGGGCTGTTACACATAGAAATCTTGACTGGGAAAAAGAGAAGATAAAAAGATAAATGCTTACAAGTCTCTATGTATGCTTTGTGCATATCTTGTCCTCTGTTCTCTCCAGGTGCATAGAAGCTTCCCAGTTAAAAGAAGGCTATGTACCCCCTTCTCTATAGCTATGCCTACTGCACATAGGGCAGCATTTACAGGTTCCCTGGCTGTCTGCCATTACTTGTTCTAATGATGTTCTCTGTAACTTTCCCCTCTGGCATACAGGAGACACAGCCTGTTAATGTCCTTTAATCATTAATGTCCTTTAATTGGGAACGGGGCCTTGGCCTTTCTTTGTCTCCCTTAACCATGACACTTTTCCTCAGTGTTATAACTGTTTCATCCTAAGTTAGGACTCTCCCTTGAGGAGGGAATTCTATAAGAAATGATGTGTCCTTCTCAGGACACCACACCAGGAGACACATCACATGGGCATTAGCTTGGGGTATGTGGTCAAATTGTCACTGTAGTGACAACCTTGAAGGAGGGAAACACAATCTCCTACTTCTTCTATGTTCCTTATTCTGTGTATTAGATTTTCTTGAACTCTCACCATAGTTATCCCAAGTGACTCAAGTGGTAAACATATAGAAATTAATGGAAAACCTTTATTGAATATTCACTACACGTGAGACACTAGTCTAAGCAACTGGCCACATGCATGCTGTAAAGTCTCCATTACTAGAGTCTTTGTATAGATAGAATGAAACATAAGAGGTTAGTAATTGTCACATGGGTAATAAGTGCAGACGTGTCAGGAGTTGAATCCAGGCAGTTTGGCTTCAGAACCTCTACCCTAGTTACAATACCTTTTCTGATATTATCTTTAGCAACAATTCTGCTTTGTAAAAGGAATCTCTCTGTCTTTCAGAACAAACACTAGAGTGGACTCTGGTCAGCCCATCCTGCATACTGGTCCCTATATCCCAGAGGACAAATGTGATTGTGTGGTGTCCTCCCTCCCAAAGCAGAGATTGGAAAACCTTCAGAAGAGCCCAATTTATTTTGAGAATCCTACCTTGGAGACAGAGGTTCCTCATTAGCCTAGAGCTTCTAGCTAGGTCAAAGAGATGCTGAAAAGAGCCTTCAGAACCCCTGGGACCTGCAGTGAGGTGTGAAGCACTGGCTGAGTCTGTGTGTGGTGTCTCAATGTACAGTTTTACTGTATTTTCTTTCATTTTAGATCCCTGCAGGCTTCAGTGTGGCCGCCAATGTCCGGGTGGGAAATGCATTGGGAGCTGGAAACATTGAACAGGCCAAGAAGTCCTCAACAGTTTCCTTGATAGTCACAGGTGCTTATACCCCTTAGCCTGAGGCTCCTGGCTGGGCATGGGGCAACCTTCCTCTGCACTTTCTGTGACCTCCCTGTTCACTGTGCTGTTTCTCCTGCTGTTTTACCCCCAGAGCTCTTTGCTGTGACCTTCTGTGCCCTGCTGCTAGGCTGTAAGGATCTTGTGGGCTACATTTTCACTACTGACCGGTAAGTGCTGGGATTTTCTTGGCAAGTGGGATCTGTGATAAAGAAACAGATTGGGTGGGCATGTCACCACAGGCAGCTCCCTGGGATAGTTGTATCTTGGCAAAGTGTTCCAAGTTATTTGCAAGAACTAAAACTTCACTGACTCACTTGAGAAGAACCTGATTGCTGAGCTAGAGAAATCAATTTGTAATCTGAATCTCAAGTTAGTGGACAGTATGCTTTTGATGGACATGATAGTTATGGATTTCTAAAAATTGCTTTAAATTACTTTTAGTGTGTGTGTGTGGTGGGGGTCAGAGGACAACTTGCAGGAGGCAATTATCTCCTTCTACTATGTGGGTTCTGAGGATTGAACGCAGGCTTGTGCCATCTCACGAACCCTCATGTATTTTTTCTTTTTTTAAAGTCTTTAATACCACTGTTTACATTTGCAGACAGAAGTTGCATTGGTTGTTTAGTGGTAGAGGTTTTGCCTGCTACATCTGCAGGTTGATTGAACATCCTACTCCCCTAATTAAAAAAAAATGCTTCAAAATCTGAAAGTATCTGAACACCATCATTCTATAAATATGAGGTGTATTTGTCAGTTTGGGATTAACAACATTAAACAGGATGAAACAACTTAAAATAGATTGGTGGTAGCCAAGTGTTGGCACAGCTCTGAGAAGCATTGTGGCTCAGAGCTCCCAAAAGCTTTAAGATGCCAACCGAGAGCTGACACTGGTCCAGCAAGGATCAGGTCTGAGCCATGGTACAGCTCTGCGCACCTCCAGAGCAGTAGAGCTATGGGCGTTGAGTGGTCTTGACATGTGGGCTCAAAACTATTGTGGGGACAATCAGGTCCTCATCCGAAGGGTGGAGTGGAGTCTTGGAGGCTGAGGCAAGAACTGCCTGCAGTTGCAGGTGGAGTCCTTAAGGCTAGCTCAACTGAGCCCCTGCCAAGGAGGTTTCTTGTGCTGGGGACCTCTGTCTCAGGTGAGTCTGTCCCAGTGAACCCTGAAGGCAGTTGTCTTTTCCTCCTCCATTGAATTCCAATGCCCCCCACCCCCTGTACTCAGAAGCCCAAATGTGTAAGGTACTGGCTGTGACTGGCTGAATGTCGGTGTGAAATAGAGTCAACAGTAGGAAGAAGAGGGGTTAAACCTGGAGAGGTGGGGAAGAACCCTGAGCCTACCAAAAGGTGCTAGAATTCACAATCAGGTGTGCAGGTCTGTCTTCAAAGACGCTGGTTAAGACAGTCCAACCACTTCTGGAGTTCCCTGGAGGACCCCTGATGCATCTCTTTTTACTCAGCCTGAATTTTTCTTCTGCAGCTGCTGCACCGTTATCAGCAGTTAGCTTTCAGGCTTGAGCCTGCTGGCTGCCAGAAGACTGCCCAGATGGCTGCCCAAGGTCCCAGGGATGGGGGCATGCACTCCTGGCAATGTGAAACAGAAATGAATTTTGTGTATAGACTTAAGTCTCTTCCCCATGGTAGCTCATAATGTCTATGCAAATATTCTGACATCTGGATATACCTGAAGTCTAAAGCACTTTGGTCCTGGGGAATTGATAGGGATGCTCAACCTAACGACGAGTCACCTTGGTGTCTCAGAGCTGCCAAACTGCCTGGTTTTTAGAGTTTTAGAATATATTTGTCACACAGATTAAAGTTAAAAAAAAAAAATCTCACCAGTGAGCTGTCTTAGAAACCGTTACACTGAATTGATGGCTGAAGAGACAAACAAATCCATCCTGTTCTCTGCAGGGTTTTTGTCTTCCTCAGGAAGGCTAGCTCAGGATGTTCTTAGTATATAGAAATGTCATAGAGACACTTGATGCTTGGGATACCTTTATCAGTAGTCACAAGTTGCAAACTGGCTTTTCGTTTGTGGATTCAAAAAGCTTGGAACAGACACAGCTGCCTCAGGTTCCTCCTCACCGGCTTCTCTTTTGTCTTTGGATGGGAGGCTGACATTTTCTCTGCCTCAGCCATCCAATGTCTTCATTTGA